TCGACGGCACTTAACAACAACAACAACATCACTATGGAAGTAGATTGCCCAGTCTTCCAAGGAGTGGCAGATGGGTTTGAACCTCCAGCCTTCTGGGTAGTAGTCAAATGCCTTAGGCACTACGCCACCAGAGACTCACTTTTCTTGTTGGGGAGAGTACAAATGCATGATCTTAGCCAGTGCAGTATGGTGCACTGAATGCCATTTGTATTCTCTTGATTCTTTCAGGTCCATCCCACTCACTCTCTTAGTCTCACAGTATCTTGCTCCTTCACTACATTCCCTTCATCTGTACTCTTACCATCTCCCTCATAATACAGTCAGTGGATTTATGTAATTTGTGTGGGTTGAAAACCTGGATTTGCCTAACTATGTAGGTTCCAAATCTTTTTGACTTAAATATTGACCTGGATTAAAACAGTTGAAATCCACAAACATGACTCCTATGTTTTCTTGTTTCACTCTGAAATATTTTTATATCTATTTTCCAAATGTCTGATGACCATAGGTTAAAAAGAAATACTAGAGGCAAATACACCAAAGATGGGGTAGGTAAGCTCAGTTGTAAAACTGTGTGACCTTGAAAATTACCTGTAAGACTAAACTGAATCACTGAATCCATATAACAATATATATAAGTGCCCTCCTTATTTTGTTGTAATCTCTATATGCCTTCTTAAGGCCTTTGTAGAAAACAATTTGCTAAAATAAGGAAAGTTATCTAACACAATAAATTTAATTAATGTGTATATAGTTCTAGTATATCTTATTTTTCCAGTTTATTACCAACCTCTGGAGACCCACAGTCACATTGTTCTCCGTCTTCCAATTCTCCATTACCACAAGTCGCAGTCCTGTAGGATGGATCTAAGTGTGGCCGATTTTGAAGACACTGGGACTGAGGCTTTGAAATAAAATGTGCAAAATCTTCCATGCTGCAGTTACTAAAGATCTTCATACCACTGGAATGACTGAAAAATACATCATACTACTTAAAATATTATGTAAAATTATTTCTACAAACTGCCTACCCTGGAACAAAGCTATTTGATAAACCAAAAGAAAAACAAACCCACTGCTGTCTAGTTGATTCTGACTCATAGGACAGAGTTCTAGAGCCACCCTATAGGATTTCTGTAAATCTTTACAGAAGCAGATTGCCTCATCTTTCTTGCATGGAGTGGATTCCAACTGCTGATCTTTTACTTAGCAGCCTAATGCTTTAACCAATATACTACCAGAGTTCCTTAGCTGTTTGATAGCATTCCATAGAGATCAAATGCACAATTTTAGTGCCAATCTTTTTGTCTGTAGAATGTTAACTATAGAATAATTTGTTTTAAATATTCTTAAGCAGAAAAAATGGTGTTTCTGGTTGGTGCAAACAGTTAATATACTTGGGGTCTAACCAAAAGTTTGGAACTTAAAGTCAACCTAGAGTCTCATCAGAAGAAAAGACTGGGAACTTACTTCTGAAAAATAGCCATTGAAAACCCTAAGAAACACAGCTCTACTCTGACATACATGGAGTGGCCATGAGTTGGAACTGATTCCACAGCAACTGGTAAGTAGGAATAAATAACTAACCACTGAAATTTCCATTGATCTGTGACAATGGCCTCTCTTGTTTCAACTCTTATCTCATGAATTTTTCTAACTTTGGAAACAATGTGTTGCTTCTTTTATGTCTTTTATGACCTCTTAATACTGGAATATACATGTACTAAAACATAATTGGCTTTCTCTTTCTTTATCTATAATTATTCATAGGTAACCATATCCAGTTCTTTGGTTTTATATAACACCTATATACTGGTGATGTAGTGCCTAAGGCATTTGACTGCTAACCAGAAGGCTGGTGGTTCAAACTCCTCGGAAGGAAGGTTGGGCAATCTACTTCTATAGAGATATTGCCCCAGAAACCCAATGAGGGGTCACTATGAGTAAGTCTGACTCGATGGCAATGACTTTGGTTTTTGGTATTCACTGGTAGCTCAGATATTTCTGTAACTTGAACTTTTCACTTAAACTACAGACCAAATATCCAATTCTTTACTCAATGTTTCTTCTTGAGGCAATCTTATAGTCATTTTAAATTTAAACTTCCTGAAATTTTAATTCCCCTCCCTTAAAACTTGCTCCTCAAAAAGCATAACATTATGTTTTCTAATGCAAACTCCATAGCCAATCAAACTACATGAATTAAGATCCCAGCTCTGATATTTGCAGATTGTATGCTTTGGTGAAATGCATTTAAATTATATATGCCTTTGTTTCCAATTCTTTAATATGAAGATCAATTTGTTAATTATCCCACAGAGCTGAGAAAATTAATACAGTACATGTGAAGCACTAAAATTGTGCCTTCTATAGTTTGTACTGTTTATACTTCCAAGTACAATAAGCAGGAACTTTAATAGTCCAGTTGTCCTAGGAAGATCCCTGAGGTACTCTTCTATTTCTCATAAACCCCATGTCTGTCATAAAATTTTATCAAATCTATCTTCAAGTATATCAGAATATGTTCTCCACAAAGCCACCTCTTGATAACCTTCTTGTTCTGTCATATAGATTAATGTAATAACTTCGTAACTGATTTCTATGTTTCAAATCATGCCTTGTTGGAGTTTTCCTTTTTCCCTCAAGACAACATCAATTCTAATCATAAAAACAAAAAATTAAAATCCATGTTACTTCTCCATTTAAACCCACATACAGCTTCTCATTTCATTCAACATGAGGTAACATGACCTATCCACCAATTCCTTCTTTGAGGTCATCCTCTCCAGCTATCTTAATTCTGCTCAACTACAGTGGCCTTTTTGCTGCTCCTGTCAAACATTATCTGTTTTCTCTTCAATACATATACATATCTCTATCTCTTAATTAGGAGCTCTGGTAGCATAGTGCCTAAGGCACTTGACTGCTCACCAGAAGGCTGGCGGTTCAAAC